GCAAATCTGGAAACAAACACTAATCAGGTGAATGTGATAAACAGAAACGTCCACAAGTTTAGTGTCGCGGATAATTTGCAGGAAACGGAAAAAGATGTAAATGATTTCACAAACAGCATATGAACGACCAAACAACATAAAACATGTGCTTGCTTACCTGCATACCTAGGTCGTGCAGAAACTGACGCGCAACCGACCTGAATACGGGATCGTACAAACGTGTACGTGAGCGGGTTAGACGTGTGTCTCTCTCGACCAACAAGTCAAGCACAGCCAGTTGACGTAAGCTCGCCCGTTCAGTGGCAGGGTTACCCAGACCAATACACAGCACATCAATTGATTCTGCCCCCAGTGCTGGAAAAGCACGGTCCAAATCCGACAGCAATGAGTTGAGAAATCGGTGTCCAGTATCGGACTGAATGAAGTAAGCACGAGTAGAGCGAAACTTCTTGGCAAGTACTGATAAGTCATCCTCTTCTATCAGGTCATTTAACCCGGGATACTGAGAGAGACCGTGTAACCACTGTGAAGTGGAAAGACGAGGAATGGAAGGAGGTCCGGTCGCATTGGAGCGCCGATTCCGCCGAGATACGGCGCGAAGCCACGGAGGTTCAATCACAGCAGCATCATCTCGACAAGGTACCGGCATTGGCGGTCATCCAACCAACAAGAACCATGAAGCAATAAGGTCTGTCTGAAGATGAGCTACAAGTTTGAGAAAGAATCGCAGTAGACAGTGATGCCTCAGTGCGAAGGGAGCATACATACAGTCCAGGATTTGCGGTATAGAATGATTTGACGATGGATTTAAGGTGGAAATGAAAAAACGAAGGAAAGAAACGGCAATGGAACAGAAGGAATTAGGAAGACAAACGACATCAAACTACGAGGCTCACATCGCAAACGGCGGAGCCGACACCAGTCCAGTCCCATTGCAGTGATACATAATCGATAACCGGACGTGCAGCAAGACGGAAACAAAAAACCGGGTGAAACGTGGTGCTAATCTACAGGTAAATTGGAAACAATCTGACTCCAAAGGGAGTGAGAAAGAAACTCTCAGAATGACGCACAAGCAAAAAATATACTGAAAAAACATGGACTGAGGACACGAAGGTATTCGTCATTTAATTGCTTACACGGAATAAGCGTGACAAGAGGTCCAAAGTTCGTTTCTGTTGGTATATATATATATATATATATATATATATATATATATATATATATCATGTAACCGAGTGAGTGCTGTTCCACAAAAGTCAAGCGGTAGCGTCCGGAGCAACTCTGACAAACGACAACCTCGTTTATGTACCAGTAACAAGTGGTAGCAAATTCAAGGGCCGAAAAGAAACGGTATCAACAAGGAGTTCGGAGTACGCTAAACGTAAAGTGGCTGTAGTTAGTAGCAAATTGCTAGGCACATTTGGGTGTCCTGCACCCTAGAACCCGGAAATAATACAGAATCATCCAAACAGAACAACTTGTGTACATCAGTTCATTAAAGCCTCGACTGTTGGTGGGCTTAAGCCCAACATGCGTGAAGCGGATAGAATCAGTGACCAGCCTGGTAGGTTATCCCTCGAATGAAAAGCCGATCAACTCTATTTGGTTTTAATCATCATGACTACACCAAGGACGATGTGGATCCATCCGTGACTCGTTTGGCAATATATTGTCGCGTATTTGAAACCGAATAATTCACCGACATTAAAGAGAGCAGTGAGACAGAGGTAGCGGTTCCAACATCCACTCTGTGCTTCAGATTGGCTATGATTGCACCCACTGCTAGGCAGATCCATTCGGCTGTGACGGAGTGTAGACGAGACAGCGTCAAACGGTGCGTCCATCAGCTCCAAACCTCTAACCACGTTCTTCAAGTGCCTACATTAAATAGCAAGCTTCATATGGGGTAGTAAACAGTAAGGACAAACTGAAAGATGAATCACGCACATAACCCAAAGATAGACGGATCAATCAATAGCCATGATAGTGAAGCTTCAGATAATAGTGACCAAATTCCCCCGGTTAAATAAGATGCAGGGGTGTTATATTGTTACATTAATGCATTACAGAACCATCCGGCGTGCGAGGTAAACAGTATACTGAATACTGAGAAAACGCAGCGAGTAGAGATGCCGCTGGGTAGCTATATCTAATATCTTTTAAGCAAATCTAGCTATTATGATGGTAATTATTCTCGAAAGCTCAAGTCGGCAAAGCGCGAGTCCAAGAGATTCTTAAACTCCGGCCCCGATTTTACATCGACTGTCTGCAGACAGGTTGTTCCAAATATTTATCACCCTCCCCTCGAAACAGAGTTGGTGAGCGACCCGCTTCAAATCCGGTACGACCACCTTGTGCCGGTGTGCTCGTGTGCTGCTCGGTGTGCGAAGATGAAGCAGCGGCCTCAACGTGGGGTAATCCCCCAGATGCAATATCCGGTGCGTCATGATGAGATCGACCCGCACTCGACGATAAGCTAGGGTGTACAGCCATATTCCCTTCATATGGCCCACCTCGTAAACTGGGAATGAGCTTTGTGGCCACATGCAGTACCCGCTTAATCCTTCGCACCTCGCCCCGGGTGAGCGGAAAGCAGGCGGGTGAGCTGTACTCTAGCATTGGTCTGATGATAGAATTGAAGAGGCTGATGGCAAGCTCTTCGGACCAAGTGCAAAATCTCCGTTTGAGCGCCCGGAACGCGCGCAGTCCATTTTGGTAAAGCCTGTTCGTGTTTTCAACGGATCCCAAATCGCAGCGTGAGAGTACGCCGAGATCTTTCACGGATAGCATACTATGAAATCGCGTCAACACGACATCCAAAAGTGCTGATGTACATGCTGGTTTCTAGATGTATTGGTATGTGGAAAACGCCGCGAGAACTTAACCGGCTGAGTAGCATTGCAGTTGGTCACAAGTGAAGGAAAAAGCACATGTCAGCTCAAATGTAGCTAACGTCATGCACCAAGAATAAGAGCGACAAAGGAAAAGATGCCAGTGCAATGATGAACACACACACGGTCTGTCGTTATGGTCATAGAAGAACGGCCAGTTTCTCCGATTGATACATATGTCCCAGTATTTTTCTATTATCTGGTGCATACATCACAGTGTATCACCAGACCTGTGGCGGAGTTAATCGCCCTGACCACATTGGGAGGATGATGGACTATCGCATTGGTCAACAGCAAAGAGACCAGTGTTGTACTTCGGCTAATATTCCCCTGTGCATCAGAGTCCGATGTGCGCTAGAAGCACTCAGTGATTGCTCATCGTTGACTGATGGTGCCATCTAGTGAATGGTAACGACCGAGTCACCAAGCGGGGGGGGGGGGCTTCGCAGCAGATTCATGCAGCCGAAACGGATCGAACCGTCAATTAGGCAAGAAGCATGTGGTCCTAGGTGGTGGAGGACTGGAGACGACACATCAGTTAGTGGACATGTTTTCCAACAGGGTGCAGCCACGAAAGTGATAGGGTCTTCAAGATTGACCTATTGATACTACTTGGTGACTTCTCTAGCAGCGATCCCGTATTACTTTATTTTTGCCATCTGCGTTTCTCACTTCAACTGCCCCAACTGTTGTTAATCATCCTTAGAGCAGCTCATGGTAGTGACCCAAAGTGGATATTAAAACCATAGCTGGATAAATGGCGGTTGCTGTTTGACCGCCAAGTGATCACAGCGGGAGTGTGATATGCTGCAATATGGTCGGCGTGACCTCGTAAGGAGCTGAAGGAAACCACCAGTAATTCGACTCTAGTCGGCGCGGACACGGAATCCAGTACACATCGTATAGGACGCAATTTGATACGATGCAACACAGTAGTTAGTGGCGTTTCTAAATTACATCTGAAACCTTCAGTTCCCAAATTCAGAAAATATTTCAATTCTCCTTATCCTTCGGCTTTAATTTGTCAATCACTACCATGTCAGCGACCGGGGTTATGATAACTTGGCCCACCGCAGTTCAGTATCGAGGGAGTACAGAGTGATTCTGGCGATTGGCTTGTAATTCGCACTTTGCTGGTCCGAAGTTGCGTAGGTGTGGGTAACCCAGCTGTGATAGAAGTGTCATACCAGAGTGAATGGATGAGCAAACCGAGCGAGCCAGATAGCCAATGGAAGACGAGCATAACAGATTTGATCGCTGGACATAGATTGGCCGACATTCATGTGAGTTAATCATCGTTTGTTTGACTGGGACAAAGGAAGAACCACATCACCTCAGAAGGGTTGTTAGTTATGGATGTGGACGTGTGAGTTTTATCGAAGAGTTTGACTGACCAAATGTGCTAATTTTCGCTGAGCTGATTTTGCCGAGTAAACGCTTGTCCCTGAAGGACTGAGTTCTGCAACATGGTGTCAGAGAAGACAAAGACGAACCACATCGGCGACGCTCGAACGCTGTTTGGATCACCAGCGTCTACATAGACGCCTGGTCCATTGCACATGGATGAACGGAACTTGGCGAGTAATTGGCGTTTATGGAGAAGCAAGTGGGTGCATTTCTGTATCCTAGTACGTTTGGAAGAGCAACCGATAGCGTATCGCTTGGCTATGTTTCGACACGCAGCCGGGGATGACGCGCGCCGAGTGATGGAGACGACAAAGGCGAAGATCCAAATAATTTGGAGACGGTCATTGAAAAGTTCAGTGAATTTTCCGAAGATCAAACCATCGACATCTACTAGCGCTATCTTTTCCCTTCGTGCAACAGAGGCTCAGACACCACTGAGATCTTGGACCGATCCTGTAATTTCTGTAGATGCTTGGGCGACAGTTTCATACGAGAGCGGATCGTTCTAGCAATTAATGACGAAAGTACGACAAAGCGGCAGTTGTGACAAGGTGAATTATCACTCCAGCACTGCATCGTTATATGCAACATTGAGTCCTCGAGCACATATCAATAGCAACAAATGAAACTCGCAACGGATGCAGAATTGTGTGCCGTTTCCGGAGGTGAAGCAGCGAAGACTACTAACGTGAGAAGGGTAACTGCAAATGCTGCGCCCCGCGACACCCAAGCACCCGCGAACAGTGCGCGGAGTGGGAACGGAAATGTGCCAAATGTGGAAAAAGTAGTCCCTTTGCTCGTTGTTGCCCATCAACCAATCTGACTGCGCTCGTTCGTGACAATTCAATTACATTCAATTAGGAATGTGTCTCGGAGAGTATCGCAAAAAGGTGTCTACGCGTCTTTTGTTCGAAGGCAAAGCCGTACGATTCCAGTTAGACACAGGTGCTGCTGTCAAGATTCTACCAAGGAAGTACTGTCCCGGAGTGCGTATCCGATCTGATCAAAGTTGCCTGCGCAGGTGGAATGGTTCCACACTTCATCCGGAAGGCTCAGCTACAATCGAAGTTGCCAGCCTACAGTACATAGCCTCACATCGAGTGAAGTTTGTGATCGTGGATGAGGAGGTCACGTCGATTCTCAGCATTGATTCGATTCAGTCTCTCAATTTTGTTGTTTTTAATCATGATCATTTCATGAATGCTTGCCGGGAAGAAATCGATATTAGTGACCAGTATCCGTCTGTGTTTGGCCCGTGCTTGGAGAAATTTGAGGGAACCGCTCACTTGTCGTTAGATCCTTTGCTACGACCGACTGCGCTACCGGATCGGAGAGTTCCATTTGCACT